TCACACAAGGAGGTGGGGGTCGAGGGGAATAACATGACCATTAGCCCAGCTGTAGAGGTCGTGACCCTTAGGCACCAGTGCCTTATCACAAGGCCTGAGACCCAAGCAGGATCAGGGAATGGAGCACAGGCCTAAGGGTAAAGATATGGAGATTGGTCCCACCCTAGAATCTCTGGTCCCTGCCTGGTTTTGCCCAGTTATCCCAAATCAGCAACAAGCAGCCACTCCACGGAGCAGTGACCCCTCCCAAAGAGAAGACTGTATCAGTGCAGTCTCCACACAGGCTCGGGGCAGCGCTCCCACTGCCCACCTGTGACGATGCAGGTGCTTCTATTCACCAACTCTCACCCTCCGCAGGGCAGCAGCCTCCTGCCTGCCCATGACCTGTACCATGCCGGGACTTCTCTTCGCTGACCTCCCTCAGCGGAGGCCGCTCTCAGGGCCGCCCACCTGCAACCATGCAGGCCTCTCTCAGCAAACCTGCCCCTTTCCCTTTCCCTAATAAACCTGCTCTTTAAATGTAACTACCGTCTCTGTCTCGTGGGGAAACTCGCCGCGTGCCGCTGAAACGGGAGCTCTGGGGATACCTCTCCCAGAGTGAACCCAAGGACGCCACAACTGCACAAAAACGACATCAGTAAGATGCATTACACCCCCTTTTGATTTTCCTGAGCCAGCATCCCAGTGCTTCAAGAATGCTGAAAGCTGACCTCAGGATGCATTTCTTCTTCCCTCAGATCAAAGAACAAAGAAGAAGGTAAAGAAGAAACAGTACATACAGGGCAGACACACTGGCCGTCACCCCTCCCTGAAGCATGTGGGGGAGCCGTGCTGGGTGGTGGCTGCAACTTCCTCATTGTCCACCGTCCTCAGGTGGAGGAGTCTCTGCAGAACACAGTCCCCTGTGGCAGTGCCAATTCATCACCAGTCTCCTCACAAAAGGAGCTGACCCACATGGCACAGCAGACCTCTCCTGTCTCACCTGCAGTGTGTTTCAGTAGATCCGTCCGTTCTGCTCCCCACCCTATCTCTGGTGAATCCTCTCACCCCCTGCACCTCTGGCCTGTACCCCAGTTCTTCTATACAAAAACAAATAAAATCTTTCTAGATGGGTGAAGTTAGAATACCATTTACGCTCATCTCATTCCAGATTGCCCTCCTAGATTTTAGAACAGTCTTACAAATGCCTCCTCCAAGCACCAGGAGTAAGAATATGTAAATAAAGACTTGAATGTTGGGGATTCCCCCACACTGAATCCCCACAACAAACGATGAGGTAGAAAGAGAGCATGTTTACTCACTTCACAGATGAGAAAAATGGAGGTCTACGAAGGTTAAGACTGGGACTAGAGATAGAATATTATTGCTTATCTCTATCCAAGGAGGCACTTATGGTTCCTAGCTATAGACTAAGGAGAGTTCTATTTAGAAGCAGCTGAAGACTTCTACTTTGCCAGGTGCTAGAGGTCAGAAACATTTCATTCTCCCTGGAAAATATTTTCTATTACTTTTAAAAAGAGAAAAGGTGGGGGGAAAGAATCAAAAGAGTCATTTTGATGATACTCATCTAAAAGAAAATGAAAAAATGAGGCAAGCTGTAGGGAAAAAGAACAAGCCTCCTGTGGCAAGAGGGATGGCTGACCTCCATTTCTTAGCGCTGAGACAACGGGGAGCTAATTCCCCGCACTCCCTCATGCACACAAAGGCAGCCTTGACTACAAGATGAGTTTTATTAGACAGCAGCTCTCAGGCCAGAGCTTCTCATCCTTATTGCTAGAATCCACTATGGAACCCCGCAAGAGACACTCCCTAAGAGCAAGTGTAAAAGACATGAACAGCTACTGCAGATACAACCATCTAGGGGTGAGACAGAAGACCTTTGGTATAAGAGCCATCTCCATAAGCAGGTAATAATTTTGAAGTCTGGGGGGGAAAGCAAAATAGGAGGCAGGAAGGGAACCTATCTGACACCAAAGTACTTACTGTTTAAAAAAAAATGCCTTGGGATAAGAAATTAGGTGCGCTTATAACTCAGTATTATGATAACATTGACTCTCAATAAAGCATTTGCTAAATTATAGCAACTGTCTGAGAAAGGAATTGCTCTGATAGCCCTATTTGGCCCTTTTTAGGATTCTGGACCCTTGCTATCCCAAGAAATAAGGAGTTCCACCAGCAGTGTTATGTACCCAGAAGACGGAAGGATCCTGGATGAAGAAAAGCAATCTGCAGGAGAAGCAGCATTTTGGAGTTGAGATAAGCTACCCAGAAATATGAATTACCTTTTCCTGCAAATATAAGGTTTTCAGTTATTGAAAGGATTTTGTTAGCAGTACAATAAACCCCAGTAGAGGTTCATGGTAATCTTTTCTCTAAACAATCATCACAGTCACCAATACTAGCATTACTTGGGATTGCATATTTGTTGCATCAAAAGGTCTCAAAATGCTTATGGGACATTCTCCCAGGAGAGAGGAGACTTGAAGGCTCCTGAAAGGAAAAAAAAAAAAAAAAAACAAAAAAAACAGCGATGACAAACAAGGACAGCTCTATCGACAGAAAGGATGTCTCAAAGCAATGTGAAAAAGCTGTCCCCATATTAGGTCTGGGGAGCTACTTTCATGTACTCATTTCCAAGTGTGCTTTAGAGACCTCAAAATTTTTTCTCGTATGTTCAACTACAACTCTGCTAATCACAAGCCTGAGAAGTTCCAGCAAAGGAACCTCAGCTTTCACTATGGCAGTGCAAAACGTTAGATACCATAAACACTGTACATTTACTTTTGGCACAGAGGAGAGTTTGCAGGGGCCTCTATCTGTGAGGTGCAGCTAGCTCCTAGCTACAGCCATTCTAGCACGGGCACAGGCAGCTTGTCCATGCGTGTGTGCACAGCAACGGCAGAGCCAACGAATGAGTTCTTTACAACATGGGTCTGAATGATCTATGCAGACACTCTGCTAAATGGAAAACAAAAGATTCACAGTATCTAAAGCCACGTATTTCAGAAATTCACGTAACTCTCTATGGGAGAAAAACCCAAAAACCTGGTTAACAAGTTTCCTCTTTCCTAAAGAGAATTAAGAGGTACACAACATGAGCTGGAACAATTTGTCATCACCTTTTCAAAGAAGCCAGCATTGCATTGAATTGACATTTTAAAACATCACAAATGATGCAACTTCAAAATTAAATTCTTATAAACAAAATATCATACAAAGCATTACACACATCTAAATAAACATAAGTTATAATTAAAACACAGCTGCATATTTCAAATGCTTGGCAGTGATTCAATATTACATTAGACAAGTTCATGGCAGTTTTGAGGCTGGCATGGCTGGACTCTAATCCACTGTTCAAGCCCAGGATTAAGAGCCTATTATATTGTACTGAAGGACTATGGATAAATGGTAATATTAATGTAAAGGGTTCATCTAAGATTTTTTTTTAATAAAGTCTGGTTTAAGTATTAAATACAAAGCTTACCAGACACAGTGCAAGTAGAGGCAGTTAATATTAAGATATGGAGGACAATTGTAGCTACAATCTAGAAATTCAGTGTTTTTTCAAATGTCATTTCTGCTCTGAATTTCATTCAGGATAACATGACCATAAATATGAAATAAGTAAAACAAGAAGTTTGATGCTGATGGGAGATGATTCATTAATCACAGGTCTGTGGTGTGGTACATGACACTGAATCCCACTGACATCTACTTTAACATTGTCCTCCTCACAATCAAAATTTCAACTCAAGCACGGTTTGCCTATAAGTAGGATGAGCACATGATATAGTTTAATGTTCAAATGGAGACATGTGAGGGTGAAGGTGGAGAGGAGACAGACCAGACAGGATGCTGAAAACAGTAGTATATTGGCGCTGTATCAGAAAACCAGTCTACGGGCACATACCTACGGCTAAAGGTAAATGGTAGTGTTTGAAAATCCAGAGTTTCTTCGCCTGTTAATACTAACCATGAAGAGTCCCTACACAAACTAGGCAGTCTTAGTGGCAGTGAGTAAAACTTCTGTACCGCAGCACAACGCCTCTACAGAGCACTGCCTGAGTGTAAAAATACTTCCAGTGGCATAAAACAAAGGAAACGAGAAAAAAGATCAAGATGAGCAATTTCCTCAGATACAGGTGAGATTCAGTTTAAACTCACAGTTTCTTCTAAATAGTGCTAATGGAAGCGGTGAACACAGGCAGGAGGATGAAAGCTGAGGCACAGGATTCCGTGCGGGGCTAGGATGTACCAGAACTACTGTTATAGGACAGCCCCGATATTGAACGGGTTCCTGGCTCTGGGTCCTCACCCGCGCGCTTAAAAGGGACTTATTAATACTCCACTACAGACACCACAAAGCCTGTATGGAATTAGCTTTAGGACATCCTTTTCCCCCTAACACTACCATGAGATAGCTACAAACACAAAATTTTTAACATTTCTTAAATTTTCTTAAAAAAAAAAAGCAGGTTATATAAGGGGAATCACACACACACACACACACACATACACGCGCGCGCGCGGCACAAGTGCTCATGTCCATCTCTCCCTACAAACACTTGACCAGTAAATAGAAAACAAAATGGAAGGCACTTAAACTATTAGCAAAATAGTGGATTGAAGGGGGAAATGCAAAGGGACTTATCTGAAGTTTTAGAGCATTTACCACAGTCCACGGAGCACTGGCCTCGCAGGACTGGTTCTACTTGTCCCCAGTGCCTGGAGACCCAGACCCGGTTCCTCAGGTATAGGAAAAACAATGGAGAAATAGTTCAAGTTCCTCTGCTACCTTTTCCTGTCCTCCTAGTGGGAGGAGTAAATTATCTGATTCTGGATGAAAGTCTGGCATTTACTAGGCCCTTTCTCTTGTCGGAGAAAGTCACTGCTCTCCTAATTTAGTCTCCATTATTTTAAAAGGTTATTAATTGTTCCAAATTCAACAAGCACCACTATTAAAATATTTAACAAATGAAAGAGGAGGGAGCAAGTGTGCCTTAACGATTTGCTACAAGAACCTTCAGTACCAGTAGAAGCACACCAGCCATGACTGAACAGAGCAGTCATTTAACCCTTTCAGCCTCATGCAAAGTAAACAGGGTTGAGTACAAGAGTACGTAGCAGTTTTAAAAAAACTATAACTTTCTAACTTCCTCTCTAGAAATCAAGTGTGATGCTCAAGAAAGAAATCTTCTTCTTCCTTTATTTGGAAAAAACTGTCTTTCTAGGACAGTGCTTCCAAAAAGGTGGTCCTAGACCAGCACCAGCTTCCAGGGACACTTGTTCAAATGGAAATCCCTGGAGGGAGGTATGGGGTGTGGGTGTGTGTGGGTGTCAATGTGTCAGGGAGTTAGCTGGGCTTTGCTGAACATGCAACCCAGGTGACTCTTATGATCCTTAATTTGATCAATCCAGGGCCTTAGTTTTCCAAACGGCACGTTCACACCCTTTGATACACATCAAGATTTTTTTCCCCATGGGAAAAGCAGATAGGGCTATCTGTAAGGAAATCAATTTAAAGATCTTCAATTTCTATATTGTCCCAAGAGTTATCACAAATAAGACCTCTTCAGATTTGCCATTTTTCTCCAGAGGCATCAAACATGACAACACAAAAGATGAGGGAAAAACCCCCATAGGACTCTCAAGGCACACTGAGGACAGACTAATGTAAAGAGAATTTTGGTGGAAAATTATCTATCTTAGAACTATAATTGAGATGGTTGTATCAGAAATGTGTGTTAATGCATTTATTTGAGTCAAAAAGAAAATCAATTATTTTCTGACTGAAAGCGAAGTCTGATTTGGCTGATTAATTTTATAACAAGGTCAGACTTTGCCAGTTTATATGATAGGACTTTTTCTATAAATTTAATCACTTAAATCTATAGCTCCACAGTTTGGACAAAAATATCTTTAAAGCACATACACAACTAGTATACACATTTTAAGTACCTAAACTTATTTTAAGAAATTAGAAGTCAAATTAAACATGTGCAAAAAGAAATCTAGGATGAGATTCACAAAATGGTGGAGTAAAGAAACATAAGGGAATGTTCTGAGGTGACAGAAACATTCTCTAGCTTGTCTGGTATAGTTACTAAGATGTCAACAATCCAGCAAAAGGGAACAATGAATTAGTGATTATACCTCAATTTTTTTAAATGTGCAAAAAGTTATATAAACTTTTTCAAAACTTAGGGAGTATTTAGCAAAAATGTTTGATACAATTATTCTAGGCACATGTGGAAGAGAGTTCTTGTTTTCTAAGACTTTCCTTTTGCTCTCTGACTCATGCAGCCTGACTGCAACACAAAGTGATCTGTAGCACTATAATATCACTGGACCAATCAAATCATTTATGCTTTTTCACTGTTAGCTTTAATATTTTTCTAATAGACACTTTGGATTTTGATGCCTAAGAACATTCTCTAACAGAAGAGTAGGGATTAACTAAAAAAATTAATCTTCAAGTAATTTGGTGAGTGAGTGAATGAATGTGTTGCTTATACTGGTAGGTGCTCCCAGATCCTCATCTTTAAAGGGAGAAGTCATTCACGTATTTCTTCATGTCAATGGAGTCCCCAAATTGATAATCTAGTTTTAAAGCACTCACTCTCAAATTACATGTAAATTTAGAAGCAAAACTGTCCTGGAACACAGATGTTTGCACGAATTAATGAACGGATGCAATGGGTCACACTGAGTGGAGAGGCTCAACACTGATGTTTTGGTACATGGCCAGACGCTATTAATATTTCTTTGCAATTCATTGATTCAACTATGCTATAAAAACCTTAATAACCAACTGAATCTCTTTCTTGCAAATAGGGCATGAAGCCCCGGCCTTCTTTAATCTTCTAGCACAGTGAAAACAAGTGACAAGATGGCCTGTCCTCCCATGAATAATGTTTCCATCTCGTGGTCTTTTCTCACACAGACTACATGGCTTCAAGAGATTCTGGCAATCCTCCATGTTTTCTGCATCGGCTCTCTGTTCAAAAAGGTTATCTGATTGTTTGCCCATGCTTGATATAGTTTCTTGGCTTTCAGAACTGTGGGCCAAATCCAAGAATTCCACCGAGTTGCAGGAATCAAAACGTCTGGGGTTTTCTTCCTTTTTGTATCCATCTTTAGGTCTAACAACTGGAGCCGATATGGTTCTTCGGCAATCAAGGACGTCAATTCCTTCATTTTCCTTTTCTGGTATGGCAGTGATATCAGACGTGGAGAGAGAATGGGTTAACTTAGAACAATCTGAATACCAATCCTTCCTCAAGGCCCAGCAACGAAAACAGTACCTCTTGCTTGGAGAGTTAAATTTCTTGCACTCAGTACACTGCCACTCACCCTACAAAGACAAGCACAGCCAGTGAATACTCACTTGGTGGTGAACAAGACATTGATTAAGCAGGTGGGGAGGTCAACTCCTCATTATGTCTCTAAGCTAGTGAGAGTTCAGACACTCCACACCAGTGGTCTAGCCTAGAATCTGAACAAATTCTACAGCTATATATAAGAAACTCTTGAAAAGTTGTATACTGATAGTAATACAATTACATTTCAAGCCAGAATTTGATATCTCTATCCCCAAGAAAGTTAACTGTTTTGGCGTTCTGACTTGGGTGGAACTGCTTGCTTTTTTCCTCACTGCCTTCTTTTCTAGGTTCATTTCTCTGTGCAATTTACACATTTATTAAACAAAGCTGCTAAAGAATGAAAAAGAGAAAACAACTCATTCTTGCCTAATTAACAAATGTCTAAAATTTGGCAAAAAGCAAGCTAAAGTTAAAATGAAATTTGAAAGCTACTAAATTTACTCAAGTTCTCTCACTGCTCTCAGGAACAGGTAGTTGTATACCTAAATCACACTCTCTAAAAAGTCAATTTTTTTTAAGACAAGATTTTTTTTTAAAGATTTATTTATTTATGCATATAAGAACTTGAGTACAGGCCAGAGGTGCAGGGCGTGAGAGGATTCACCAGAGACAGAGTGGGGAGCCGAATAGGCAGATTGAGATATACTGCTGAGGGGAGCAGCTGGCAAGACAGAAGAGGTCTGCTGGGCCATGTGGGTCAGCTCCATGGCTGGGGATCAAACTAATGGCAAAGTGGCTGTGAAAGCTTGATAGCTCCAAAACTTAACCCCTGTGCCACCAGGAAGGCCCCCCACTCCCACCCCACCAAAAATCAATATTCTTGTCCTTGAATGCCAAGTAATTTTTTTCCTACTTCTCCATATTCAAATGAGGTAAAACCAGAGCCCAGTGAATTTTAAATGGCTTGCTTAATTCAAAGGTAACTACCCGGAACAAGTCAAAAGTATTTAATGTGGGTAACTGGATGCCTTTTATAGGATCGATGGTTTGATACAGGCTGACTTGATTACTTTCAGAGTCTGGGCCAAGCATTTCAAGTTTAGAAGTCATAACTCAATTGCCTAGACTGAAGGCAGGAATATGACCATTTGTTAAACTGGGATGTTCTCTAGAGAGCCTCAAAACATTCTTGCCAGATACTCAGATTTTATTTAAAATGCTATATAAATATTCAAAGGAACTTCATAAAGATTTGGAAATGATAATTGATGGTGTCTCATAATCTACTTTCTCCTTTTCAGTAGTACATAAAATAACAGGACTTATTAAATTCAATGGCATCTTTGATTTGATGAAGTATAATCTATTTGCTTAATAGGTTTTCTAGGCCTAAGCAGTCACAGAAGTTTGATTAAGATGGATACACTTATCTCTGCTATTTGTATTATGGTCAAGAACACTTAATGGACTGATATATTCCATTTTATTATTAGCTATACACAGATAATTTGCAATGAATCACCATAACGGTGAACAGGGAAGGGGGTTAGGGGGGTTGAAATCATCACTAGTGACAACCTAAATATTTTCTATTCATCAGCAGCAACATATAAAATCTGTTCTCTTCCCCATCACCTTTCTTCCCAAAGTATATTACCTAAGGGAAGCATTTAAAGGACATTAGAGAACAAGCATGAAAATCGAAAAGTAAGGTATATATTTGAGTTTAGACCTGAGTGTCAACTGGTGATAAATCCAAACCTACTACCTAACAGCTTAAAGCTGAATATTAGTCTGCCTCAAATGTAAATGTGTGGATTTCATGTTTCCTTTTAAGAAAGCATTAAACATTTCCCATGTTTCCTTTTAAGAAAGTATTGAAGATACAATTTTTACACTTGATAAAGAATTTTAGGTCGCTTATAGACCTGCCTTTGGGGTTACAAAGAGGTATTTAATGGGAAAGTAGTGCAGAACTATTTTAAATAACTTGTGTATCCAATGCAACACATTCGAAGAGTTTTGATAGTAGGCAGAGAGGCAAAAAGAGGCAGTATCATCTCTTTCCAAGGTAGGGAAGCGCAGATCAAGTCTCCCCCATTTCTTCCCAAATTCCAATAAAAATTTATAATAAGATGTGGAAACCGACATCTCTATAGAGCTAGAAAAGGTAGGTGGAAACCGGGCTGAGTTTAAAAGGTATTCCTAAGCACAAGTGAACTGCTACAATTGTTAAAAGCTGAAGATGTGGGTGGTCCTAACAGCCCTTTTAGTATAGACTCATACCTCAGAGGTAACTTCTACATCAGTATCATCACTTAGGGACTTACAGTCCTCAAGGTCATCATTTTTCCCCACTTCAAACAGCTGTGAAGGCAAAGATATCTCATTAGTAAGGTGTACCTATTTTAGATGAGGCTACTACCTGAAAGCAAAAAAGACAGAAAAGCTTCAATTTAAAACTCACATTCTGTCTCTATCACTAGCAACTTAAAAAGTAGACAGCTTAAGTCTGAGGGCAAAAACGTGACTCTGCACACACCTAGCAGGACTTTCAGGAGCATCAATGACTGAGCATGGGGAGGCTTGAAGGGGGAGGGCTACCAAATCACCTTCTGCCTCCAGAAGGGAGAGGCTGACCAAATTTGTGAATTTAAAGAAAATAAACAGTGTCAGAGTAGAGATGCTACGTAAATATGGAAATTTTTTCTTAGGAATCTAGGTAGGTAGGCATTCACAAGGACCCTGTGACAAAATGATAGTGAAAAGCACTGTATAAAATAAGGGACTTAGATGCAAAGACTGAAAATGGAGTATTTTAAGTTTTTACTTTTCATATTCAAAAGTAAAACCAGTTATGCGATTCTCTGGCTGTCCTAGAAAAGCATGCCCATGGACCAGGAAACAAAGTCAAAAACTGCAGGAAGTGTCTTCTAAATTAAAAAGTTTAGAATTTTAAAATCCTAAAAACTCCATATTCCAGAAATGTAAGCATTACCAAAAATGTCAATAAATAAAATAAAAAGGAGGAGAACTTAAAATACTAAAAATTAAAAGCCTAGTTCTGCAATGCAAAACACAATAAAACCAAATATGACAAAATTGTAAACTTCTGTATAGAAACTTTTTTTTTTTTAAAGAGGCACGCATTTTATTTATTTATTTATTTATTTATTTGTTTGTTTGTTTATACATGCACTGGGTACAGTCAGAAGCACGGGAGGGTGAGAGAATTCACCAGAGCCAGAGCGGGGAGCAGAGCAGGGGGCAGGGGAGGTCTGCACGCCATGTGGGACCCTCCGCCGGTGGCCGGGGAGCAGCTGGGGATCGAACCGGCGCTGCAGAGGCCGAGGGGAGCTTCACAACCCAGTGCTCAACCGCTGCGCCACCGGGGAGGCCCCCTGTATAGAAACTTTCTCACAAAAGTTAAGTCCCATCTCTCTGTAGAAGTTTCCAAGTGTCACCTTTGGCTTCATTCTAGCCACTTGATTTGCATACAACTAGTCTAACAAGAAATCCAAGCACCTCTTTGCTAATCACAAAAATATCAGAATATCCTTTAGAACTCCAAATTACTCTGAGAATCTTTTAAATTAAAAGGATGATACAATTTGGGTTTATTTCTTGCTATATATACTTAATGTTTACCAAGAATATTGTCTGTGTCAGGAGTTGCCCGATTTGAGAATTGAACACATGCTTGTAGGACTCTTCATCCCAAAATCTCCCTCTATTGTAACTAAACTACATTAGAACTCAACTGTTTTTTCCCTCAGATATAAAGTTATATGGAAGCTACTACAATGTCTAAGAAATAAAAAAAATTTCCCTACAGGCTCTTTTGGCTATTTAGAACTTTGCCTTCTTAGCAAAGCAAGATTTCTGGAAGAAAAAACACCAAAATGAGAAAATAAGCATTCAGGAAAAGGTAGGTAGTTTATTTCTTCTAATGAGGTAGGAGCTTTATGCATGATTGTATCTTATTTCTAAGGCAGTCTTGGTTAACTTAATGTTGGACATAAGAGAATACCAAAAAGGAAAATAGGGGGACCGTGTGAGTCACTTGTACAAAAAGGTATGGGTCACCAGATGCGAACAGGTTCACGATTTTCCCACAACAAACCTTTTTATCTCTCACTTTCCCTACTTCTTCAGACTGTTCAGTATCTGTAGCTTCAACTTTTATTCCAACACCAAACTGCTCTGACACGGACTCATTCAAAAACCACAAGTCATCTGTGGTATCTGAAACAATGGCCGTACCTATATCCTAGTAGAACAAAAAACAAACAAGAGTTTTGTAGTCAGAGGCTTATCAAAGATGCTGAATAAACATACATGAACCCAAACTCAATGTCTTCACATATGCCTCAAAGAACGCCCAGCCTTTAACATTTATTCATTCAGCAGATATCTACTAGACACCTACAAGCTAATAGATGGATATAAAGGTATCTAACAAGGAATTTTCAATTTTAATGGTATGTCAGATTTAATAGTAAATCAGGAAAAACTTTTGAGAAGTACCAAAGAGCTTAAAAGGCAGGATTCATTGTTGCTCAACCAAAAAGAATCCATTTCTTACATTCCTTTCCCACAGGTGACGCTCTAGGAAGTTAGAAAACATTACATTGTGACATGCTTTCCTTAATAGTTAGTGATGTTTATTGAAGAAATATGAGAAATACAGAGGGTAACGCAGACTTTTTGTCCTGAATTCTTAAACAATTTAATTTTATTTCTACATTTATCTACATTTATGACATGCTTTTTACAATATTCATAAAAGACAACTTATTCTGCCACCATTATATACCTATTCATCAACTGAACACTGAATGCCTACAATGTGTCAGATATTGTTCTAGGTATTAGGCAATAGAAGAGCAGTGAATATAAAAGCCATGGACTTGATTTCGGGGGGAGATATAGACACAAAAAGTCTAGTAAGTTGTACAAAGTGAGAAGTGCAATGAAGAATATAAAATAAGTTAAAGGAGTGTGATGATGATGGCTTGAATTAGGGTATGACAGTGAAAGTGGTTAGTAAAAAGTGGTTAGATTTCAGATACATTTTGGATCAAAAACTGCTAATCTTGACAAAGAAATCAATGCTGTCTTATGACATCTGGCTGGAAACACTGAGTGGAAAGTAGACAAGACAAATGAATGGTTAGAAAGAAGTATTTGGTTAAAAAAAAATCAAGACTCAAGAGTTCTGTTCTGAATATGTCAAATGTCAGATCATCTAAGTGGAGGTGTTGAATGAGCAGGAACCTGGGCATGAAGTGGAGAGGTCAGGGCTGAAGATAGAGACTGAAGCATCACAACACACAGATGGTACTAGACCAATAGCACTGCACGAGAACTCTTAGACAATGCATTGTGCAGTCAAGAGTAACCAAGTTTGCTACTCTTTCAAAAGAACTTCCCCCTCAAATGTGAAATTTACCTGATTTGTCTGTAAATAAGTTGAGCCATTACTTCTAGGTGTATAGTTGTTTCTCAAGTTTCCTAAAAACCACCAAGGAAGGCCGGCTACATCCCACTCCTCAAACCCAAGGTCCAGTCTAGAGGTCTCATCTTGAGTTAAATTTTCTATCAAGTCTTCATCTATAGATGTTAAAAGAATGATAACTATGTACACAGTACTTGAAAATTTAGACTCTTTATAATACTCACAATACTTTATAAGTAAAAAGAAATTTTTACTCCCAGTGAGAAATAATCAGAAATCAAATAGCTGTCTCGGTAGCACACCCCAAATCTCCTCCCATTTAGGCTTCATTAGCAAGTAATGTCATTAGAAGTAAAGGATCATATATGAAGAAATATAAACTATGAAAAGTACTAAACAATGATACCGCTCTAAAAGAATGTCTAAAAAGTCATTTAGTGGCATTCTCAACATTCAGAGCACTACAATAACTAGAAAATGATTTGGTCAAGCACAGAATGCCTGATGATGGCATGACCCACTGGACTGCAAACTGGCGACGGCACAAAGACAGAAGCCAGGTGGCATGAATAACAATGGGCCATCACAAGGTTGTCAAAGCAGTCTCATTGGCACATCCGATACTTTGGAACATTTTTCAAAAATTCATGTTTTAAAGTACAAAACACTGAACCCCAGGTTTCCTAAGTATGTATGTTATGAACTTTCTAGCTCAATGGGCTCTACTGGAGTTAAGATACCTAACAACTAGAAATATTTCAAGGGAAAAAAATCTCCAGTTGAACATCAAAATGATATTCAGGGCAGTTATTAACCAGTTTGTCGCTAACAAAGTTTTTTCTTTCATTCCCACTATCCCAATGCTTTTGTGGCACTTTCCGACTGTCCTACTTTCTTACTCTCTTCTACCTCTTCCCAGATGATTGAAAAAAATTTCTGTAATAAATGGGTCCCTGCCAAAACAAAGGATTACCCTATCTACTTAAAAAGTATGTCAATCCCACCTGCTAAAAGGCTTATCTGTATCCAGGGAAACTAAAACCACCTCTGTTCCTTACTCACTACTAAAATTATCAGAAACCGAATTTCTGAGTTGAGACTTATTAAATGTTATCTTTATCTAGTCAAGCTCTATAACTTTATTGTAAATGGACTGGAAATGGGTCATTCTTTCCTCATATAAAAAATTCTGTCCTTTCTACTTGTATGCTAAGCTATTTATTCTCAGCAAACTACATACAGTCTCCTGAATTGGCTTTTTCTTATAAACAGCTTTTTGAGTTGAAAATGGGCAAGGACCTGAAGAAATAAAAGTACACATTTAACGCCACACAGAGAGGACTAGCTCCAAGGTAACTAGGCAGCCTCTAACTCTTCAAATGCAATTTGAAGAAAATTATCCAAACTGATCGAAGTTCAATGAACATTTAAATCTGTTTAAACAGCAAAATGAGCAACTTGGATGTTGCCAGAGGCTTAGCCTGCCATTGCTTTAAGTTTGAGGCAGGTACCTAAACAAGAAACCATCATGCCACAAAATACCCCTGAGGTACTTATGATTTTAAACATCTTTGTAGAAAGTTTTAGAGCTCTTTTATAAAGTAGGGTTTGGGGGAAACTTTCAAAATATCAATTAACTCATACAGTCCAGCCACACCTAAGGATGCGGCAAAGATCTGATAACAACCATACAAGGACAAAGAGCGACTAGGTTTCTTATGTTCATTCTTGGCTCTAAGTCATTAAGTATATTTATGACTACTGCAAACTTCAAAAATCTAAGAAAATTAGCCTCTGGCAGACAAATCAAATAAAATTTCTAACCTGGTGGAATACATTCAGGGACAATTAAAGCTCAAGGCAGCTTGAGTTACCAAGTTGCAAACTTGAGACATGTTTAGCTAATTTCTATTAGCATGTGAAAAAGGTTTTCTGAAAAGAATGAGAAATAAGTATGACCTACACCCTTCTACTCCATACGTAAAGAGACAGCATTATTATTATTAGAATCCTCTAATATCTGGTCTTAATTATAGTAAGTGCTTAACATGGATAGCCATTTCTAAAAACTGGAAGAAGGGGAGGGAGAGAAGGAAGGATAAAAGAAAGAGGGAGGAAGGGAAATCGACATAGACTTAATCCAAAATTACCTCCTCTAGAATTTCTGCACTTATGCTGTGAGGTAGGCAGTGTGGGGAAATTGCCTTCTTCAGTTCTCTTCCTGGAATTGGAACTTTCTTCTGCACTTTGCTGAAAAAAAGGGAAAGGTACCAATCAGTGGGAAAGAAATGACTGAGACCAGGGGATGTAGCAGTTCTACTCTGGCTCACCAGTTAGTGTGCAACACAATGGGTTATGCACAAGAGAATTCTGAAATTCACAACAGTCATCAAATAAAGGCCACACCTCTCAACCCTCTGCAGCAGAGGTAGGAGAATCCCAAACCTGGGGGGAAAAAAATCTCTGCACAAAAGGCCAAAATCTGTTAGAAACAGGCTATAAATATAATACCTTATTACAAAAGTAGGCATAATTCAGAAAACATGTGACGCCTTTACCATATACCAAGATAATCATAAAGTTTTCCCAGGTTTGGGGAGCTCAAAGAAATGGCCTGACAAGAACTTAACTACAACAAGTTTGTTAAAATCTAATGAAGCAGTTTTCTCAAACACCTTGTACATACACCATCACACATACAGGCACACATAAACCCCAAAGAAAATGTAACTGGAAGAACTGAAGATCAGAAGTGCTACATCCCAAAGAAAGATTCAGAGACTGGAACTCTGTTATGGGCAGAACAGAGAAGGTTCACTCTGTCCCTGGTCTGTGAACTCCCAAGAACCTTTCTTGTTAAATTATTACCACATTCAGGAAAGGACTTGGGAGTCCAAGAGCCACAGGTACAGAGAAGGGGCCACTCTGTACAACAAAAGAGGTCACCGTGTGGTGATTTTACCTGCAGTTGGTCTTGACCTGGAATATCCATACTGTGATCCTGTGCGAGAGCGAGAGTCTGAGCAGCATCTGGATAGCAAGTGAAACAAAAGGAAAACCTTCCCTGGTAATAACCATTCTTTCCACAGAGAAAGGACCTCAGCAAACAACCCTGGAGCCAGGTGTGGTCCCTAGAAATGTACTTTTCCACGTTGCCTGGACAAGGCTCTCATCCAAAAAGAAGGGAAAAAACTAATAAAAATGGCAAAGACTAAAACAGACTACTTTCAAAATTTACTGCCAAAATCTTATCTGGGGAAAATGAAAAATGGCTAAAAAACGTTTTTTCCATAACAAGCTTTCAAATTTTAATATGAGAACTGAGGTCAAGGAGCAAATAATGGAGAGTATTTTTATCATCTCTTCCTAAAGGTGTTTATTACCAAGTGTGCCTAAGATATAAACAACAACAACAACAACAAAAAAGGTTTGACTTTTTAATTTTTATTTTCAAGTGTTAAAATTATACAGGGTTGTGAGATTTGAAAATCTGGAATTTTCCCCACATGCTTCTTAACAATAGCATCCTTCATGTAAACCTACATTCTAAGTGTTGATTTCACAATTTAAATTCCCATCGCCTGAATGCAGATTATTTTTTTAAAGATTTATTTATTTATGCATACAAGAACTGGGGTACAGGCCAGAGGTGAGGGGGCAGTGAGAGGATTCACCAGAGACAGAGTGGGGGCAGAACAGGCGGATTGACTGAAATACACTGCTGAGGGGAGTAGCGGGTGAGACAGGAGCGGTCTGCTGCACCATGTGGGTTGCTCCCTGGCCGGGGATTGAACTTGTGCTGCAGAGGCTGCAGATAGCTTCTTAGTACTGTGCTTAATCCATTGAACCACCAGGAAGGCCCTGAATGCAGATTATTTTTTTTTAAAAAAAAGGATTTACTTTTCCCAGTTAGAGGAGGCAGTTAGTTTTTCTCAAGGTCAATTAAAAGAAGCAGAGGTAACAATAACCTGATAGATATTCTTAGTGTAAAAGAAACATATTTCAAGGACTTGAAAAATTTTCAAGCAGAACAAAAGATGAAAACTTAGCTATAGGAAAAGATCACTCACTACATGAAGCTCTGTGCAACCAAGATGCACCCAAGTGAGTCTATCCTGTGCTGGTACATCAGCAACTGCAGTCTCGGAAGAAAGACACTCATGGAGGATAAAGACAGGCAGAGAAAGCGCACAGATCCTACAACTGGTCTGACAATTCAGTTGTTTTGCACAAAGTTAACATTTTCAAAATTACTGACAACATTATTTCTAAAAGCATTTTTCATAGCTATAGATACTGAGAAGTTTGAGAGACAAGATTTTCTGACCACAAGGAGCTTTATCCTTTATAGCTCAACAGCCTTACAATCTTTCCTAGGTTAAAACAATTAGAAACAAAAATAAATCTGGTGAAACAGATAATGTACAAAGGGATTTTAAAATAAGGTTTGGGCCTCCCCGGTGGCGCAGTGGTTGAGCACTGGGTTGTGAAGCTGCCCGCAGCCTCTGCGGTGCCGGTTCGAACCCCGGCTGCTCCCCGGCCACCGGAGGAGGGTCCCACATGGCACGCAGACCTCTCCTGCCGCCCGCTGCTCCCCTCAGCAGTACACTCAGCAGTGTACTTCAGTCCTTCTGCCTGCTCTGCTCCCCGCTCTGGCTCTGGTGAATTCTCTCACCCTCCTGCACTTCTGACTGTACCCAGTGCATGTATAAACAAAACAAACAAACAAATAAATAAAACATGCCTCTATTAAAAAATAATTAATTAATTAATTAAATTAATATAAGGTTCACCATTTATTTTTCATTGCTTTAGTATACATGTGGAAAATAAAGAATTATAAAAAAATTTAGAGAAATAATTTTATAAAGAACTACCTTAACTTTAAATAATGGCATTTTCTTCAGCCATAAAATAAAAGCTTTAACTTATTTTTTAATGGTGTAAAACAGGTGACATGGGAAGCAATGTCAACCAATGCACGTCCAAGTAAGAGCAAACAATCAATCAAAATTACTTTGGGGCAATTCCCTAATTTTAATCATTGTACTATGGTTATATAAAGATGTCACCACTTGGGGAATCTGGGTAAAGAGTATATGCAACTCTTTATAATACTTTTTAGCAACTTTTTTGTAAATAAAATTATCTCAAAGTGACAAATTAAATAACAAAATGTTTTGAAGAATTAACATTATGAAAAAAATGTGTTGAAAACTGAGGGAAATTCTTTCCATTACAAGCAAGAGCTAGGGGGCCTCCCTGGTGACGAAGGGGTTAGTCTCAGCACTATCTCTGCTGGGGCCTGAGTTCAATCCCCAGCCAGGGAGCTACCCACATGGCGCAGCAGACCTCTCCTGTCTTGCCCACTGCTCCCCTAAGCAATGTATTTCAGTAGATCCACCTGTTCTGCTCCCCACTCCATCTCTGATGAATCCTCTCACCGCCTCCCACCCCTCTGGCCTATACCCCAGTTCTTCTGTGCCTAAATAAACAAATCTTTAAAAAAAAAAAAAGGGTTAAAGGGACATTAAAGAATGATGAAAAGAGGGCCTCCCCTGGTGGCGCAGCAGTTGAGCGCTGGGCTACAAAGCTGCCCGCAGCCTCTGCAGTGCCGGTTAGATCCCCGGTTAGATCCCCGGCCGCTGGCGAGGGTCCCACATGGCGGGACAGACCTCTCCTGTCCCGCCCACTGCTCCCCTCAGCAGTGTATTTCGTCAGTCTGTCTGTTCTGTTCCCAGCTCTGGCTCTGGTGAATTCTTTCACCCTCCCGCACTTCTGACTGTACCCAGTGCTTGTATAAATAAATAATTAAAAAAAAAAAAAAAAGAATGATGAAAAGAGCAAGGACTGCCCATTCAGAAACAGATGCACCACTACTCATCAGTGGCAGCTGATCTTAAGCAAACCATTTATCTAATTAAAAAAAATCCTCAGTGTCTCCATTTCCAGACCTTTCTCACAAGGTTGTTAAGAGGATCAACTGAAATACTTGTTATAGAAATGTTCGTTTTAATATACAGCATGTTAAATTCTGCAAATGAAGTAAAAGAAAGAAAATGAGAGGGTAAGAGTTATATCTCCTCTGGATATTCAGACAACAGATCAGAACAAATCTGAGAAAAAGAGTAGATGCGCAAATATAAAATCCTCTGTTTATTTCAAGTTTTTAGTGACAATCCCTGTAAACCACACTATTTCACAAGTGATTGCCTTCCCCCTCAAACAGAAATTTATAACTGGGTAACACAGGTAGATTGTCAATGAAACTAAGCAGTTCCAAAATTCATTGTAAGTTCAAAATCATATTTCAATATCAAAGTAGTTTCTTTACTCTCACTTTAAAGCATAAATCTTCATTAGGAACAAATTCTTTTCAACCTATTTGTTTCAGGAAACTACTGAAAGATAGCCAATCAATAGGGATCACAAGCTTGGGCTTTCTCCAAAGGACAATGTTCCCGAGAATCTAATTTGAAATCCATACAAGGGTTTCATGTAGGAACAGGAAAACAAAAAGTTTCATTACTTGGAAATAAGTGTGAGATAGTTACAATTTAGTCATGTCCACTTTATTCACTGATCTCTAATACACTGCACTTCAGACCCAAAAGCAGTTCCCTGCAATACCTAGTAAGTTAAACTCAAAAGGCAGTACTTAAAAGTATGGAATCAAGCAAAAGGTTAGACAAGTTGGCATTCAAAAGAGAAGTGCTAAACACATAAAACATCACCACAAGGGTACGATCTACAAACTCTAAAATGCTGGAAATTCTAAAGAAAAAATAATCCATTTCTTCAATAAATGATACAAAAACAAAAGGGGGTTAAGTTTTAGAGATAAAAGATACTTAAAAGACATGTCAGCCAAATGCAACATAAGAAATTTGTTTAAATCTGGATTTAAACAACTCAAATGTAAAAGATGTTTCTGAGGAAACTGAGAGAAACTATACATAAAATGGCTATTGGACAGTATTATGGAGTTATTTATCATTATTAATTTTGTTGCATGTAATAATGTTACAGTAATGGTGGAATTTAAAAGTATGTATAGGTGAAGCAAATATGGCAAAATGTTAACAATCACTAAGTCTAAAAGGAGGGTACTAATGATACTAATCTATTTTCAGGATTAACTGGAAAGTTAAATAACACAGCAGTAACCAACTGCACAAGCCATCCCTCCCAGTCGCGCCCTGATGGCCTTCCATGCCCATCTTGGTCCTGCTCTGCTTTCCCATCATTTGCCCCTTGAACTCAAAGCTGTGACACAGAATAAAGAAATATGATGCGACGTACCTGTAGTAGTGGTGGCTAAAGTGACAAGATTCTTTCTTAGCATATCATAGAGTGGGCTGTGAGAAATTGAAAAAAAAAAAAAAGTGAATATGGCTCTCCATTAAAATTTTAAGTATATTTCTGATATGCTATTTCCCAACTTTCCCTATAATGTATGTATTCTGTGTTTTCCACAGAACAGATTTCTCAGAATCTAAGAATTATTTAAATATCAAGATGTAATGCCCAAGCCCTTGTATTATTTTGTGACCATTAAAAAACTAATTTATATTTAATTTTATTAATAACAACAGTAACACAAGTAGGGAGATTTCCTTACAAGACAATCCCTTCCTTCTAGGACTTAAGTTTTACATTATAATTGGACTGGGAGTGGAAGGGAGTCTACCAAAATAAGACAAAAGGAGCTGAGAAGAAACAGTCATCACAAAGCTATAGAGTGAAAGAGAAGACTGGATTCTCAATTATTAATTACCTTGTCACTGTGTTAATAACCACATACCCTATGCACCTGGAGAAAGTCACACAGCAGGTCAGAGTAGTTCTACTGTGATTCTCAGGAAGCTCTTCATCAACCTCAAAGTGCCCAGCAAGTCTACATTTCTTTCATCAATTCACTCTTCCCTTCTCTACAACTATTTCACAAAATTATAATCTAGTCACATCAAATTCCCTCCTACCCAGACACATACATGTGATGCTCAATCTGCCTAAAGTTCTCCTTCAAC